CGGGGCATCTCGCAGCAGATATCGGACTCGCAACTGGAGCCGCCGCCGCCGCCGCCGCCGCCGGCAGCACTCCCGCCGCCTCACTGGCGCCCGGCGGAGCGCGCCGGCACGCACTTGCCGGCGTACCTGCCGCCGCCCGCCTACTTGGCGCCCCCGCAACCGCTCGACATCTCCGTTGATGACCACTACGAGTTCGACCCGGTGCTGACGCCGGGCACGGAGTCGCCGGGCGGCGCGCCGCCATTGACCCGTTCCCGGCCGCGACCCGTGCCCGAGATGGAGGCTCGTGTGCAGGCAATGCGCCAGGAGTTTCAGCAGTACCGGCAGCGGCGCGCCCGGCGGCACCGCTCTGGCGACGAGCCCATCACCGAGACGGTCTGTTGAAACAGTCCCGGAGCCGCACACTCCCCCCCCCCCCCCTGTGTTCGCTAACGCTACTGCCATTCATGCTTTACGTTCGCCATCAGAGTACAATCGTGTGTTTGCGTTTTGCGCCGTGCTGCTCGATATTTTTTTGCACGGCGGGAGGTTTTGTGGCATTACATCTGCGATTCTTTGGTTCAAATGTGACAGCTTTAATGGCGCCGTCGCGGCGGCCGCTAGCGTGTGGCGGGGTGCGGCGTGGACCGGCGGCGGCTGGCGCGGCGCGCCGCCCGCTCGGTCGCACCTGTTCCTGTGATAACCGGTCCTCTCGGGCCGACCAACTCTCGGAGCCCCCTCCCCCTCCCCGGCTCCTCGCAGGTTGTACATAAGCGTGAAGATGCGAAGATGCGTGACGTGTCGGCGTCGCCCACGCACTCCGACCCATGTATATAGAGGGTTTTGTATTGTTGTACCTAGGCCGCGCAGGCACTTCACTCTCCGTAGTTGTTCAAAACGCCACCATCCCCGAGAACCTGTGTAGTGCAGTTAAACGGTGCCGGTCGGTAGTCTGACGTGGTCGGAATGGTCAGCAGTACTGGGCGTTGTCAGCCGTTCGCCAGAGCCCAGTGCCGCCGACTCCTTTTGCGTGCCTAGCGACACCCACCACGCCCGTCTTTGAGCCCGCGATGATGGAGGGGACCGAAGGGTGTCGTAGCTGGTGATGCCGGAAAATCTGGTCTGTAGTTACACATGTCGACTCGCCCACGTCATTTGGACCGTGACCAAATGCGGCGTTGCCGACTACAGATGGGAGCCCCCCCCCCCCCCCCCCTCTCCGGCCCTCGGTATGCCCGACACGAGCAGTGACTTCCAGTTCACTGTGCCCACCGTTTAGTGTAGGAATGTGCGTGGCGGTTGTTGTTGCCGGAATCTCCTGTTGTGTTTGTGGAGCGATTCTTGCCGGGCTTCTTATGTTGTTGAGAATCGTCGAGCCCGGTGATGTTGGCTGGCCTGTGGCCCTGTCACAGGCGTAGAAAGATGTTTAGGGGGCAATTCTGCGAAAACAAGCTGATTTGTGCGCAACGTCCTGGTTTCCACTCGACTTCGACCAATGGTGCGTTGAGCTTTTAAAATTTGTGTGATGACTCGTGTTTATATCATGCGCCATTGTTTGTCCATAAAGTCTTGGGGCTCAAATACATTGCAGACCCCTCACACTGACCGATACTGCCCCCCCCCCCCTCGGCCCTTATCTCTGAGATACTGTCTCGCCGCCTCCTCCCCCGACTCTCTCTTTGGTTCGCGCTCCATTGGGCTCCGTGGCCCGTGTGTTACTGTGCGCGATATGTTGTGTGTTTTTCCCCTCTGACATACCTCACGGGCATGTTTTAGTCACGGGCGTGCTGCTACGACTGATGCTCAAACCCCGAGAGGGCCCATCCCCCCGGCGCTCGGCCGCACACCGACTGATGGCCGCTTCGGCCGCCTAACAGCATCATGCTTTTCGCTTCGCATGACATGTATTATATACTGTACCACTTGGCAAATACAGTGTCTTTTGTACAATGTCGATGGTGTTTGTGGCGTGCGCAGCACAGATGACGGACCGTAATGCAGCACAAGAACTTTTGGCACGGACTAAGGACCAGTCACTGCGAGCGGGGGCAACAGAATAACGGCCTCTTCAAGATGGCGCGAAACACGTAAAGCTGTCCTACTTTTGTGCGGTTTTGATACAGTTTCATTGGTGGCATTTCGTTTCCATCAATGCGTTAAAACATGCGACCGGTGATTGCATTAGGCACTGCGATCTAGAACTTCAGTAAATTCCATTTGTTCGCTTGGAATAACTGTATTCAACCGATCACAATTCCATTCAAGGAAGCAGTCATGCGGTGAAAAATGTACGAACGACAATCAGCACAGTTATCACCCGAGGTACGCATGTAGCGTAAATGTCATCGAGCCATGCTGGTAAATCTGCCCACCAACGGTACCAGATCACGTGGCGGTAATTGATTTCCGTTACTGCGACCGAAGCGCCAGCCCTAGACCCCTTCTCATTTGTTTTTTGTTACACACGAGGCGCGGATCCAAGATTCCAGGGGGCGTTTTCTTTAAAAAAGCTCCCTTCTTGTAGACCTCTACCCTGACTGCATCGCAATCCTACAAGTGCTTCGCTGACAAAGCAGCAAACTGAGCATCGGATTCCTTGTTTGATGGTGTTTTGATCGCTCTGATGATCCCTTTAGCTTCCCATCAATGATCGTTCAAGATGACATTAAAGCTTATCCATCCGAGAAAGGAACCACCTCGTCAATAAACAAACGCATGTGGACCTCTCAAGCTGTATGAAGGGCCACCGTAAGGGCGCGGAGCGCCGGATCCCTGGGTGTTTTGTGTGCCGCTGATGAACGCTGGTGCCTGTCATAACTGAGCACGCATGATGTGCGAGTGATTGTGGCTATGATGCGATGCGCTATGTACTTCATAATGTGTCCTTTTTATCAGTATGCGCTCATGCCACTGATATTTCAACATTGCACTGGCGTGTGGTTCAACGAGCTTCGTCCGGCGCCACGCCATGCTTTGTTCATCGGGGATGGCACGATGCTGGGCGGATGATAGACAATTTACGATGGCAAGTCCCGGAGGCGTCTCAACCACAAGCTCCGAAAGAGGGATCGGGTCACCAAGTTCGGGTGGCTAGGCACGTCTACTGGCAGATAGGGCCGCCGTCCCGCGGGCTTAGCGAACTGCCAGCAGCGACGCCACTCCAGGACCGGAGCGCGCCGTGATGCCAGACCAGCCGCTGTCACAAGACGGATAGGGCCGCCGTCCCCGACGCCACTCCAGGACAGGAGCGCGCCGTAACGCCAGACCAGCCACTATCACAGGACGGATGGGCCAGGCGGTCCCCGCCACATAATACGCGAAGCGAGGCTGAGAGAAAGAAAAGAGGAGATGGGAAGGTACCGAGCGTACCGAGCGCCTCCAGCCGTCGGTACTAACAGTGGGTGATGATATGCACGACTTCACCGATGGTTAGGGCGACGAACGATAGATGTCATAGCAAATGGCCCATCGATGCAGCCAGTGCTGTCTTTACATTGACATTAACGTACGTGGGCCTCTTGGCAGCTTGAGAGCGCACGCACCGTGCGCGCTCTTCTTGTCTCGTCAGAGGGATTAGTGTAAATCCAGCTCCGTTTTACTCTGCAATGGATGAGGGATGAAAGAGGTACGTTAAGTGGGCTTGTGCCATCAGGCGCGAAGCAAGGGACAGGGGCAGATGCATTACGTTAGACCGGCTAATACTGTCTGTTATCGATGCAAGAAAAACGTGTGCGAAGTTACGTCAGTTCAGCTAATTTCTTTCGGTAGCAAATGCAACGTAAAACACGAAACACATACCCGCACCGTTTATTCACAGACAAGGGTACCCTTGGATGGCGGGTGATCATTACATTGCAGAAAAGGTTTTCCCGCACGGCACATGGAGTTCCCCACGCACTGGCCATTGGCTCCGTGGTTGGGTCCATCAGAGACCTGGACCAGGTTGCTACCCGCAGCAAGTGGGGGAAGGCGGCCCGGGTGACCTTGCCCGGGGTTACCTTGCCCCGAGTGACCTTGTCGTTTTAAGTGATGTAATTCGGGCCAAGTCATATTAATAAAAACGGATTTCTTAACTTATGGAGAAAATCAGCACGTTAATGCCGAAGTGTGCTTTGAAAACACACATGCAAGTGAAAAAAACCAGCACGTTTTGGCTGAATGGCAATGTTATGGCAAATGCTATGGCAAATGTTTATGGCAAACCTGTAATGGTGATAAACATAACATACATCAACAAAACCTATTGGCAACCAAGAAAACATATTCGTTGGCAATTGAGCAGGTGAAAACCTCTTAACATTTGATTACTTAATGTAATTAGCAAGTTTTTTGGCTGAAATTCGAAGAGAAAAGGAGTTCTCAGTGAGAGTCACCGGGGACGGAAGGCACCGTCAATGGGCGTCTGTCTTTGTGCACAGAACGAGCTTAACATGGCAGCATCTGAATGGTGCAAGTGAGTATGAAATGTGCCGCCAAGCACAGTATGTGGCTGGACATGGTCCGCCAGAGTGAAGGCGGACTGCGTTCGATGATGTATGCGAGAACTAGTTTTGGGGTCCATTCGGAAACTAGCGAGCTTTCCTTGGTTTGATGTGGTACGTGCGCTGACGCCCGTGCTGATCTTATTCACGCCGTAAGAAAAGCGAGATGACAGATTGATGACAGCAAGAAAATCATAGACTGAGCAAGAAAGGTGGTTACGGGCAGGCATGTCAAGGGTCTGTTTGGCTGCAGCCTCTGCGAGGTCGTCCCTTAGATGGCAGATCGGCCTTGTATCCAGGAATTGATGACGTGGCATCCCGGTGGCAGTGAAGACGATGTGGCGCGAATTGTATGGGTCAAAGGTTGACTAGAATTATGTATCGATGATAAGGCGTGCGAGGAAAAGCTCGCATCCGTACAGACGACTGTTAATTGGTGTGTTTGTTTGAGATAGCAAAGTGCTGACAAGGCTGCGAATAACTCCGATGTGTAAACCGCATGATAATATGAAAGGCGTTTAGCTTTACTATGCTGGTTGCGGATAAATGCAACTTCGGTGTTGCTATCCGTTCGGGAGACGTCGATATTATATATGTATGTATATATATACATATACATATATATATATATATATATATATATACTTTTTTTTTTTTTCTCTCTCTCTCTCTCTCTCTCTCTCTCTCTCTCTCTCTCTCTCTCTCTCTCTCTCTCTTGTGGTATTCATTTCGAATCTCTGCGAACAAGGACGGCGCCTCCATATTTGTGAATGCGCGTTTCGTGTATGCGCAATAGTAATTGCATTGTGGCAGGGCTGTCAAGGCAGATGCGACATGGCGGAGGCGTGGGGAAATTGTAGATCTGTGGGAGTTGGAGCTAGTGTTGTGCTTGGAATCCGCGGGTGCTGATTGTGTGATGCTTGC